TTTTTAAAGTTATTTAAAGTTATATTAATAATATTATATATTTTAAAGTTATATAAATAACTATTATAAAGCTATAATTATATAAGCTATATAAAATTATTAATTATGAATAAAGGCAATATTATAAATTAATGAATTTCTTAATATGCATTAATATGCATTAAGAAATTCATTAGTTTTATTTTCTATTATTTTTAACTATAATATTTTCGAAAATTAAATTATATATTACTTAATAATGATATTTATCATTAATAATTCAATAAAAAAAAAGAATAGAAATGTAAAAAATTTTTAAATTTTACCAGTTCTGTATGATGACGTCCATATTGAAATTTTTCCCGCCTTGTATCATCCCAATAATCAATTAATAATCTGAAGAAAAGAAAACCAAAACTTTAAAATAAAAGTATAAAATGTACAATAAAATTAATTATGTTAAAATAAAATAATAATCAAACTTAAATTCTTTTCTAAAAACTTATGGCACGAGCTATTTTATAATTTTAACCTTCACATAGATGAATAAAGAAAAAAGCAATAATTTAGCCTTTAAATAATTATAATAATAAATGAATTAATTATAACAAAGATATTAATTGTATAATAGATACAAATGATAAAGAATTCCTATCACAATAAAGAATTACACTAAAAAATAAGCAAATATTACGCACAAATAAATTACACACCTCAGAGAAAAATGACACGTCTGAACACTATTAATATCGAGAGCAGAATGATACCTCGTACCACAATTTCGATTATCGAATCGTGAATTAAGGAGAGGATACGCTCGAAAGTTTGACAACAAATCGAGTCATGGACATGAAATTTCAATTTCTTAGAATACTCGTAATATAAGAAATGTTTACATTTTCAAACATAACATAGAAGAATAAGAGAGATAGATATATAAACATAACAGATGACGCATTTAAAAGACGTATTTAATATATTATTAAAATAATATAATTTGACGGAAAAATTGATTCTTTAGCTCTAATGAACTAATTACTATATATTCATTGTACAATAATATAAATAAAAAGACAAATGAAATCTATTCTAAATATTTTTGCGAAAAGAAATAAAATCTTACCATATTTGCAGAAAAATAATTAATAATTTGGCTATGTGTAATAAATTCTTGTGATGTATGCATTCTTTCGAAGTCATTTCGACATAATCGAATAATAATCTGTAATAAAAATCAAGATCACAAAAAAAAATATTTAAAATTAAAATTATATTAAAATAAAAACAATAATTAAATTTAAATTTTGACTAGAATGATTATAGTACAAGCAAGGTTAGTAACCTCAATAGTCAAATAGATGATAGAAGGAAAAAATATAAAAGAACTTAAAAAACTCATGAATTCCGTAATTATAATGTTTAATAAGTCATTGAATAAATAAGTAAAACAATAATCTATAAATTTGATGATATAATAAAAGCAAAATTACTTACTACATAATCAAATCGAGCTGATGCGTCCGGTCACAATGATTTTCGAGAAAAGAATGATACCATGCACTACAGATTTGCCTAGGAGCTTTCTAATTGGTTGAAACGATGTGGTCCTTATTTTCTTAAGCCGCGCGAAAATTAAAGTATTATACAATGCATTTTAATTGACGATTTCTGTAACATCAAAATTTTACAAAGATTTCTTTATTAAAAATATAATGAAAATTGTTTATCAAAATTAATTTAATATAAAATTTAATATAAAATACAATTTTGTTAATATTTAACACAAAAAATAGCCAAATTAAAAAATTTTGAAAATATTATTAATGAATACAAAATAAAAATTAATTAAAATTAAAATAGAAATTAAAATTATAAAATATTAAAAAATAAATGAAATATAATATAAAAAAAAATAAACATAAAACTAAGAAAATAATGAAAATAAATAAAAACTAAGAAATTAATTTCCATGTTATCTATCACTCTTTATTGTCATTCCATTCGTTCAAAAAATTTAAACTATCTTAATTCTAAGGAATTCTCTAATAAAATTCCACATAAAATTGAGAATTCAAAAGAAAAATAAAAAAAAAATAATTTGATTCTCGAAAAACGAAGAAATGAAAAGATTGAAAGTACATATTATAATTCATTTTAAATTAAGGAATATAATTTTGTGCATATTTATATATATTTAATCCATAAATATTTATCTTATATTTAAAGATTTAAGATTCTAAAATGCATACATTCAATTCGCCTGATAATTCTATTTTATGATAAGTGTTAATAAAATAATATCTGCAATTTAATTTAGATAATTAAAATACTCAAAAGGAATTTGATACGAATTTAAATTGGATTACGTAATTCTTGATTTGTTATCATTTTTTAAAGAATAATTCTTAAAAAGTTTTCAGTATGAAAATGAAAGAATTTATAACATGTGTAGTCTAAAAATGATACCAAAATGATACAGGTTTCGTCAAATGAAAGATCTACACATGGAGACATAAACTTAAAATAAAAAAAAAAATTACAAAATATTAATATTAATGATTAAAATTTTAAATATGAAAATATAAAAATAGATAAAAAACAATTAATTATAATAATAAATTAAATTAAAAAATTATAAAATATAGAAAGAAGATTATTAATATTAGATTTAAATATTAATTATAAATAGTTATGTGTAAATATTTATAATAATAAAATATCTAATAGCTATAAAAATTAAAAAACAAATTAAAAACAAATTAAAAACAAATTAAATTAAAAAAAAAATAAATTATTTTATATTTTTAAATTTATTTATTAATTTAATTATTATTATATAAAGTAAGAAAAGAACAGAAATAGATTAAAAATTTTTTAATCAATATATATTCTAAAGTATCAAATAAAACAATATAGATAAAAAGATTAAATAGTAAGGATATGGATAAAAATAAGCTAAAAATTAATCTTTAGTACCTTTTGAGTATTAAAAACATCTTTTCAAAAAATAATCTTTCTAAAAACATTTAAGAGATGGCGTTAATAATCAATTCTTATATTATCTTATATTATCTCTATCTTTTTCTTATTATTTGCTTTTTTTGTCTATATTAATTTCATTTACGTCACTCTAGAGATGGCGTTGATTTCCGAATTTTTAACCTATCTCTGTCCTTCTTCCACTATTTGCTCTACATTTGCCGTAAGAATGCGATCAATGATGTAAATATTAATTATGAAATCTCAGTTGAATACATTATTACATTTTTTTTATAAATATATTATATCTTAATCTTTAATATAAATAATATAGATATTAAATTCGATTCTGATTCGACAGGTTTGATATTTAAATAAATGAAAGTTTGAGCTGGTTTGGTAATAATGAAAGTAGAAAGAAATTTTGAAGCATTTTAACAAAAAACAACATCATCGAAGATTATTTCATTAAATTATTCATCTATCTTATGTATTTTGTCTATTTATACATTGATAAATAAATATTTAAGAGACTATAGTCGATAATAACGAAAATGATAAAAATTTTAGAAAATACTTTTCAACCGTCGATATATTTGTCGATACAAAATTGTTAGTGATTATTTGATGATGCTTTTTACATATACGTAATTTGAATAATGTTACTTTGTATTAATTAAAGTTATTTTATTAAAATAAAAGATATTTGATTAAAATTAAACATTTTATTTATAATTGAAATATATTCTATTTGATGTTTCAGATCATGTAAAGCTAATCATTTATACAATACACAATATTCTTTTTAAAAATAAATTTTAAATAAAAAAAAATTGAAAACTAAAAACTTTGTTGCGAATTTTCGTGTGGTAGCATAATAATTTGGTCGTGAGAACTTGTTCCGAATAGACCACACCGTATCGTCAAATGACCAACATCTGGAAGTGATTTTCATGTCGTAAAATCTTACTACCTACCTGCTGACCGTGCATAATTTCGCATATATATCATTAAAAATACAACCGTGACAAAAATACTATTAAAAAATCATCCGTGACAGATCAAAAAAAAGAGAGAGAGAGAGAGAGAGAATAAGAAAGTACGAACGATATGATGGATAAATTTAAACAATTTCCTACAGATAAGTAATTTTCAAAGTTTTCAAATCATTATATAATAACTCGATAATGCATCTTCTGCATTCGTTTAAAATATGTTTGACCGCGAACAATAGAGAAAAACCGGAAGAATTTATTTGGAGAACAGAAGAAACTTACCCTTGGGCTTACTGGTAGCTAAAAAAACTGCAAATAAATACACACCTTTACACAAACTCGTGTATATACAGTCACACCTACATAAGGAATTCGTATAACCCAGCCAGTTGCTGCGGTGCGCAAGAGTAATAAAAAAAGAAACACGAGAGGAAAGGACCGTTGGCAAAGAGAGGCGGCAACGGAAGCAACGTCGAAGAGATGTTATATATATGAAATAGAATGAGAAAGAGAAACGGTACACGCGTACGTCTGTGTTAGTAAAATTATGGTGGGGATGGTTACATAGAGTCGCTACTAGGCGTGGCATATGGAACCACCCAACCGACCAATCAGAACAGGAGGCGTTATCTAGACGTATAACAATGCTTCGTGTAATACATAGTTCAGTGGTTCTCAACCGGTATAAAATCAACTTTTTGACCGTAAAGATATCGTGCAATCGTGAAAATTTTTTCAAATATACGATTCGAGCATACGCCTTGTATGAAATAAAAGCTCGAAAACTAATTGTTTCTAAATTACACGGTCATAGAAAATAATTAATCTGTGCGAGCAGTATATTGTCCTCATGAAAGCCTTTATCACACCACGGTGGGATGAAACAGGGCTTAAGTACCGCCTACGTTAGAAATCATTGACACAGGCGCAACTCGTGAGGTTATGCGGCTGCGTTGGTACGACGAAAGCTTTTCCAGAATCCGGAACGATAGAAGGAGGCAGAGAAACAAAGAGAAAGCGATGAAGAGAGAGATGATGAGACAGTGGTGAAAAGAGGGACAGAAAGGGAGGTGCGAACAGAGAGAGAAAGATGGAAGAAAGGGTAGCAAGTTGGAGGAACGTTGGTCTACGCTCGGTGGGGAGTCCAGCGTGCACCGTGCATCCAGTTGTATACCTAAATGCGTACGGCACTGTTTTAATAGTACACACGCGTAGTCACGGCCCAATGAATTGATCCCGCGAGGTGCATCCCCCGGATAAAAAAGATGTCGCGCCATCTTTGAGGGCACTCCCGCTTCCAGAGGGCTAGCGCGCGCATTTTCGATCGTGGACCGTCACCCAGCGCATAGGTTTTTCTCTAAGCAAACGCGCGTGTTTAAAACAAGTTTTGATTAAGAATGAAAGAATCATTAAATTATCGCCATAAATCGTTTAAAATTGCCGCTAAATTATGGGACCGATAATGTTAAGACCAATGAAAAAATAAAATTTGATTATCGTAAAATTATTATTTAAATAAATATTGAGATATGTAATATTCCAAACATTAAATGTTTATAATTCGCAATATTTTAATATGCAGTGTTAACACAGAATAACTGTCAGCTCTGCGTAAGATGGTTTAAAAAATTAACATTGTAAAAGTGTCATTTCGATCGCGTTCTTGATGTATAATCGAAAACGAAGGTTTCCGTTTACATTCATTGAAGTTCCGTCGGGCGGATAAAGATGTGTGTGAAAGGAAGTGAACAGTAATTTTTTATCAAGACTTACTTAGAACAGATCGTAATTAACACGAAGTACTTTCAGTGTAGAAAGAAATTGTGACGTATATATTTCCTTTTTTTATATATATATATATATGTATATATAATTGAACACTTTTAAGAAACTTTTTTATGAATATTTTATAAAAATTTAAACTTCGAATCGTTAATAACATGGAACAATTAACAATAGTGTAGAGTAACATTTATAATTAATTACAGAAGAGAAAAAAAAAGTCAGTAGAATTAGTTAATATATAAAGAAATAACAATAATATTCGATGGAATTCCGTGAACGATTGAAGTGCGTCAAGTACCGACGGCTTGATCAAAGTGTTCGCTCTTTGAGACACCCCCGCTGCCAAAATTACTTTCGCACCAAGGGTGACTAATTGACTCTTCCCGGTGAAATACCGGTGAGATTATGGGTTTATTTAAAGGTAAGTAAAACCAGTCAGATTTACATACTTTTGCATTTAAATAAATATCTGCAAGTTGCAAAGGTAAGTACTTACAAAATACTTAGCTATAATAAAAAAAAAAAAATATGATAGAAAAGAAATAATCAATAATTATATGGTCAATTTAGATAGGTATATTAAAACAGATTTAAATTCAACAGTTTAATTTCAAGAATTTAAGTTTAAAATTCAAACTTAAATATATGAATACTATTGCACATTATTCCCTTAGAATTCCCGCAGAATTTCAAATTATTTTTCCTTTACGATTTTGACTAAATTTGATTTCATTTCAATATTTTGATACGTATCTTCGAAACGAGTAACGTGCGAAAAAAGGGATGACAAAACTAAAAGAAAAAGAAAAGGTTTAACAAACGTCAAACCGCAAAACACTCACCTATTAAACACGTCGATCATACAAATCTACATTTTCATTGTAACAATTTCAATGAAAATGTATCGATTCGCGTTCACAGGTGTAATTTGATTCGATAAATCTGGATGCTGGCAAATTGTTCGTCTATATCCGTCGAACGTATCCCAATATATTGCATTACGGTACCCGCATGCTGTCCCATGGGAGACTCAACAATCACTTTTTCACCCCTTTCCCTTATAACTTTCTTGAGAAACGACCTTTGATCCCAAAAAAAAAAAAAGAAAAAGAAAAAAATTCCCACTCTACGCTATAAATATACCATAAAGTACCATAAAAATTGCTCAAACAATAATTCGGTTCACGTGCCAGCATTCGACCCTTTAACCCTTAAAAAACAATTTTACCGGTGTTTCTATCGACGAATCGAGAATGCGATACGCATGCGATAAATTAACACGTTAACAGGCGCGCGTGTCAGTTTTCACGGTTGTTCGACGTTGGTTCTAATCACTTAAGTATCCCGCCGCGTCGTCGTTTCGAAAACATTTCCACACGACGAAAGCGAAAGGGGTCGAAATCGAATTCCTCAAGATGGATGAACTCTATTTCAAGATAATCAGAATACGTGGATATAGGTGTAACGAGACGCGGCCCGAGTTCTCGCCGTTTTTAAGCGCTGTTAAAGTAAATAGTGCGCGTGTTACGTGCCCCGTGACAAGGGGCGTGCCGTTTCCTAAAGTCATTTGTCGAGAAAATGTCCGGCTTTCGAACGTGATCCTTTTCCGTGTTCTGCTCGGTACCCTTCCATAGCTTACGGAACGGAGAAAACTTATGTCTCCGTGCAGCTGTCGCGACAGCGTTAAATCTCGCAGGAACCCGTCGCTGCTTCTTTTTTTTTTCTCTCTCTCTCCTCCTCCCTTTCCCTCCACAAATTCCAACAACCAACCACTGCGTGTTTTGAAAAAACTTTTTTTTTTTTTTTTTTTTTTCGAACTATGAATCATTTGTAATACGTAGATTTGTATCTTTAAGCGTATGAAACATTTTCGCGCATTTTTTTTTTTTTTTTTCTTTTTTTTTTTTTTTTTTGTTTTCATCCATACGAATCGCACCGTTGTTTCGAAAGAGGTTTTCCGATTAATTTTCCAGAGAGAATTCTATGTTTGCTTTCTTTCTTTTTTTTTTTTTTTTTTTCTTTTTTTCATTTCGTTCGAATTCCTTCAACGGCACGTGGTGACGAAAGAATTAATTCCACGAATTAGTTCCACGAATCCGCGGTCTTCTAATCTTGATTCTTTATCAAAAAAATAATAAAGGGCGATCGAGAGTGATCGGAGAGTGGTTAAAACAGATTAAGATTGTTTATTTGTTCCCGATATTTTTCGAGTGGAACGACATTTCAAACGTAGAACAATTCATCGTCGATTAACATCGCCGTTTCGAAAATGAAACGTTTTGAGTTAACTAATAATAGTAAGATTGCACGCAACATCCTGGCACGTGCGTAAACAGCTCTTAGGTAACTTCGGCTCCGAGGCTCACGACACAATAGTCGGCAGAATATTCGCCGTTTTGCAAACGTCGATTCACAGAAATCTAAAACTGGCAGTGTCAACAACTACGGTTTTCTTATTCATTGTTACCAACGAGAAAAGAAACGTCTAATTTCACTTCCAGCCCTTCGACTTACCTCATAGGGGATCTAAAATTAAACTCGCGCCAAAAATTTATTTAGTCTGTAGCATTGTCGTCTCCGCTATCGGAAACAAATCAAATTTGTCGACGTCGTTAAATCACGGCTCGGCCGTTCAACGCCCGAGACCGAGAGAGCAAATACAGAGGCCCATAAAGTCGCGTTCCTACACGAATCACCCTTATGCACAGGCAACCCAGTGTGACAGCGTCCTCGATGAATTTTTATGCTTCCATTTTCTTTTTTTTTTCTTTCCCTTTCTCTTTCAGCTCTCTCTTCTCGAAAAGAAAACTTTCTTAATGACCAAACGTATCATTCACGATATTTATATTTAAGTTTCACGCGTTGGAACACAAAATTGGCCCGTTTATTCCGCCTCGTTCCGAGCGTGGACGGGAATTTAATCAATAAATTTTATGAGCTCTAAAAAAAGAACGTATACATAAATATTTTTTAAACGATTTTATATATATATATANGGATTAACTTATGAATAGGAAATCATTTGTCTCGATTTCCTGTCGTTTCGAGAAGAGAAACAAGAAAGTGCGAAAAGTGATCGCGATCACTTTTCCAAAGGATCTTCGGCTAAGATCAGAGAAAGCCGCAAACTAGCCAGCTGTTACACGGTCGTTTTAGCGGGCGGATAGGTGAAAACGATTTAAGCGTTTCGACATGTGTAGAAACACGACATCCGATACTTCCTTACCGAGACCTCCTACTATGGTCGGTGCTCGTCCGATTGAGATTTACGATGTTGCATCTTCTAAATGGCATGAGATCGCCTGGTACACGGGTTATTGAAGTCATTTATAGCGCAACAAGTAAATAAATTTCTCGCCACTAATAGAGAATCGCGTTAATTCGTATTTTTTTTTTTTTTTTTTTTCACTTAGAAAAATTTTTCTTCTGGTAATTATATTTTTTAACAGGTTTTTAACCCGTTCTTTTTTTTTTTTTTTTTTTTTTTTAAAAAAATTTTTCTTCTCGTAATTTTCCTTTTTAAAAGGTTTTTACCTCGTTTTTTTTTTTTTTTTTTTTTTTTTTACATCGCGTTTCTAACATCGCGTCGTCGTGATAAAAATTATTTATACAATAACAAATAACGCTATTCAAATATGTAAATAGTGAAATCGCAACGAAATCGGAAAAACGAAAAAGAAAAAAAGAAAGAAAGAAAAAAAGTAACGATTAGCAAATGGTTACGATCCTTTGAAAAAGTGATACTAAAAATAAAACGGAAGTTTCTTTCTCAGAAAATGAAGTATGAATAATGCAATTTACAGTGTTTTAAGACAAAGAGGAGTAACGCATCCTGTACAACTTCAGACTTTGTTTCTCCTTCCAGAAGAAATTGTGTGAGACAAAGATAGAAATTAGTGGAGGGAGAAGGTAAGGGATGCCTTGCTTTACGTGAAATCTCTGTATTCTCCGTTCTCCGTGTATACCGTGTATGTAATTCTCACATGACTAAAAAGGGGAGCCCGTGGTGGGGAGATATGTAACATCGGGATCCCGAGTCAAACTCGAAGTTTAGTTTTGCTTACGACGACCTTTAAGTTCCGCGCCGCGCCTCTTGTCCTCTGACCTGAGTCACGACGCGACTCGAAGAAAGAATGATAGTGAGCCGTCATCTTCGAAAAAATTTTGTGCCATTTGTCATCGCCAACAACACGATCGGTGTCCCACCATTTCTTCAACGAACAACGAACAACGGATATTTGGATATCGCGTGAATTCAATATGAAGAGTGAGTACTCGTTTCGATTCTCCAATAATCGATCATTTCCATCACGTAAAGTGTCTGTATATATTTGTAAAAAATTATCGTCAAGGGACGTATAAAATATGGGAAACGAGTGATACGATACGTATTATTCCTATAACTTCGTCGAGTATTATTTATTAAGAGAAAGGAAAAAGAAAAAGAAAAGAAAAAGAAGATTATCGTATCATTATCGTTCGCGATCAACGTTCCATTCGTTTTCGTCGAACTTTTTCCCTTGGAGAAAGAAAATTTGTCCGGATGAAAGGAACCGATTTTCGGTAATTTTTCTCTTCCCGTGCGTGGAAGTGGACGCGTTCTTGCGACTTCCAATAATCCTGCTAAATTGCTAGGCCGGTCGTTCAAAGTTCGTTCGTGTATCGGGTTGGCTTAGTGAAACGGGAGAGAAATCGTTAAATAAAAGCGACCATGGAGCTGAGGGCCGAGGGAACACGGCGAATAGTAAAAAAAGAGCAACGTGTGTCGCGGGTCGTCACGGCAGGCAACCCCCATCGTAGCTTATGGCGTACGGCCACGTGAGATTCAAGAATTTCGTCAGGCTCTGAGTTGCCTTTTGTCATCGACTCGGTCCTGAGTTCCAGTTCTTAATTCGCAACGGCGACAACGAGTTACAGTCGAGTAAATTAACATTACATTATTTCTTCTCCTTTTTTGGTCACGATGTTAAAGGGTGGAGGTGTAAATTATTTTTCTCGCAGATTATAATTACGTATTTTAACTGATTTCCACTCTGCAGATCCTTTCTTTAAAATTTTGATTTTAACAATGGAACTAAAATCACATTAAATTGACATTAAATCGGGACTTTTTTTATTTCTGCAATTACTAGAAGAATATATCCAAGTTCTTTTTATTCAAATAAAAAACGTAATTCCATTCATTGTTTTAAAAATTATTTAACTTAAACTTTTATATATAATTTAATCACGTACATAAATATCCTTAGATGTAAGATAATTCTGGTATTGATTTCGCGTTCTTTTTTTTTTTGTCTTCCTTCCATTTTTTCTTTTTTTTTTTTCTTTTCCTTTCTTTAAATTTTCATTTATCACTCGCGAGAAGAACTTAATTGCGAAAAATCTATTAATAATTCAATGATTTCATATTAATAATTGTGT